CTCATCATCCCGACGATGCTCCGGGTGCTGATGCGGTGGCTAGCCGACAAGCTTGACCAAGGAGAGAGGCTACAGCGTCCCGTGACTCTCTACGCCGGGCTACCTCCACTGAGCTTTTTCACGGATGCTAAAGCTGAGTCCGATAGGGCCTGGATAGGTGGCTTCCTGGAGATTTCCGGAGGGAAGCCAGGTCCCTGGTTTTCCTTAGAAGTGGATAGGGCCTGGGCTCCGTGGGCCTTTGCCAAAGGCGACCCCAAGAAAGTGATAGCTGCGCTAGAACTGCTAGCGACCCTCGTGGGGATACGTCTCTGGGTCCCCGAGGGCGAGGATAGGAAGACCTCGCGAGTGGCCATCCGCGGCTATACGGATAACAAGTCCAATGAGGCACTTGTGAAGAAGGCTATGACGACCAAGTATCCCTCCATGCTAGTTTTAATGGAGATAGCAGAAGAGCTATCCCAGAAAAACTGTGAGCTACAGCTCCAGTGGATACGGAGAGACATCAACCAGCTAGCGGATGACCTCACAAACGAGGAGTTCAAGGAATTCGATCCCTCTCAGAGGATAGATCTGAAAGGAGAGGAATTCCAGTGGCGTGTTCTGGGCCGGCTACTCGCGCATGCAGATAGCTTCTACCAGGAGCTAGGCACGCGAAAGCGAGGGACCCCGGATAGGGTGTCCAAGTTTAGCCGTAAGGCCAGAAAGCTAGATCCCTGGTAGCCTGAGTGGCGATGCGTGGGGATAGATAGCCGAAGGCTATCAGTTATCTCCAGGCAACCTGGGATAGTTGCCACTCCAGACAAAAGAACGTCCGTGCTAGCTGTGTTGCTTGTCCGTCTGGTCGTCGCTCGGCTAGCTCGCTAGCTATCTACTTTCGCACTACTATCGTCCTGGTGGAGATCCGGGGATGGTGGTGGGATATAGGAGCTAGTGCACGTACCTCGTGACGAGGAACGAGTTACGACTATGTGTGCTAGCTTACCTATTACTACTCGAAGCTATCGAAGGTAGCTTCGCTAGAAACGAAGTTTCGTTCGCTATCGTCGCTCGCAGGAGAGTTGCCTCTGACATGCGAAGACAGGATAGCAGTGACTTGGAATGGCTACGACGGTGTGTGACCGTGGCCATTCTGGATAAAGTCCCCCATCAGGGGGGGTAATTTTGAAGTACCCACCCTGCCCACCCTGGGGATAGATAGCCGAAGGCTATCAGTTATCTCCAGGCAACCTGGGATAGTTGCCACTCCAGACAAAAAGAACGTCCGTGCTAGCTGTGTTGCTTGTCCGTCTGGTCGTCGCTCGGCTAGCTCGCTAGCTATCTACTTTCGCACTACTATCGTCCTGGTGGAGATCCGGGGATGGTGGTGGGATATAGGAGCTAGTGCACTGCTTGGTGCTTCATTTCCATCCGTGGGAACTGCCAGAAGAGCAGTGCTACCACAGTGTAGCCGGACTAAGTCTGTCCCCCCACGTCGAACGCAACTCTGTGCGAGACGAGTGCAATGCAATGCTGCTACTGCTACTGCTACTGCTACTGCTACTGCTACTGCTACTGCTACTGCTACTGCTACTGCTACTGCTACTGCTACTGCTACTGCTACTGCTACTGCTACTGCTACTGCTACTGCTACTGCTACTGCTACTGCTACTGCTTCTTCCGGACGCTGCAGAGAAACGCGATCTCAGCACTGCGAAGTCCAGTGGATTGGCAGGGACTCCTCCCTGGCGCACTTGCGCTGTCCCTACACTTGAGGGCCACCCTAGCTTCAGAAAGAGTTCTGGGTCCTCCCGACTCGAAAGCCCTAAAAGCAGAGGAACCCAGTTGGAGTTTTCATCCGAGCACGACTCTAGACTACAGGTGATGCGATATTGTACAGGAGTGCGTCACACAGGGTCCAGAGGGCCTAGGGGGAGAAGTTATGAGCCTTATGAGCCTTTGAGCCTTGGGACTCGTCATTGCTCGGCAGGAACATTGGGCCGAGGGCCCTCGCCGCATCTAGCATACAAAAGCACATAGAGCCTGCGATCATGGGAGAGTTCCTGTTGCAGGCTGAGGGCCGATGCAGGGACATTGTCATCTGTGATAAGGGCTCGGCGGTCCGGTCCTAGATAAAGGATGGTGCGATAATGCCCTTCAGTGCATCGCTGGCCTATGTGCATTATGGCAGATACACGGCGGTATTTGACAAAATGCTGCTGCAGTGCATTCCCGGTCTGCAGGTTGTTCGTGAAGCAGGGGACCATGATGTCTGCTTCAGGAGCGATAGGGCAAGGGGACTTACTGGCATGTCCTAGAACCCCTACATTAAATCGGTTAACCTGCAGAATCAGCACTGGCGGAGCGCTCACCAAGGCGTGCTGTCCCTCCTGCTGAGCCCAGGCATCGAGCAGATGTTGCACACTGACAGTGCCAGTGTTAGGGTTCTGCAGTCCTTGCAGCGGCGCCGGCAGAAAGAGGGGCCACGTGTGGCCGCTGTCAATGCACCTGACCGGCTCAAGTTCAAATTGTCGCCGTGACTCCCATCTGCCGAGTGCAAGGGGATTAACATATGCGGCCAGGTATTGTAAGTATTCCCCTACATCATGCTGTATATGCGGTTGATGCCAATGCGCATGAGCAGTGCGCCACACTATGTGCGACCACGGAGTGACGGGCCTTTGTTGACGGCACAGCCATTGCCACACCGTTTGCAGCTGCTGGCTCAGCAGCTCACAGGTCCGGGGACCTGATGCATTGGCCCATTGAAGGGCTAAGAGCGAAGCATTGCTGTAGCAGTAGTTAGAACTGTTTTGCAGTGCTAGGCGTCGAACGGATCGCTGATCAGGCGATGGAGGGCATTCTCGAGGGCGTTCCTCCCCATTCTCTCTGCTCGGAACGACATAGCACAGACCCTCCACAGCCCGCTGTGGGTGAGGCGAGACATGTGGCTCCAGGCCATTTGCGCTTCTTTTGTGCGATGGCCCAGCTGCAGCATCATCGGCCCTTGTGCTCCTTCACCATCTTCCGGGTGGAGTGGAAACGCATCACCACGAGTGGCAGCAAGATAAGCTTCTGAAGCTCGCGAAGGATTTTGTCCGCCTCCTTGAGTGGGAGGGGATCCCGATCCTTCTTGATCTGGAGGCGTTTCTCGCTTCCGTTCCACTCCAAATAAGGAATGTTGTTGTGCTCGTCGAGCACAAGCGTATCCCTGGCCTCCTTCATCGTGTCCTCGGTCCGTTGGCAGGATTCCAGGCGGTTGATCGTGATCTCGATGATGTGCTTGAGCATCACGGCCCTCAAGGGGAGATTGATGGTCTCCGGCTGCTCCTCCTTGGCTTTTCGCCAAACCTGTGCCACTTGATACAGGTCGGCCACCAGGCTGAGCATTCCCTGAGCCTGCAGGAATAGCATGAATCCCGACTCGCAGCGGTCGATACTCATCTGATCGCTGTGCCGGAGAATCAGCCGTGCCATGATAAGGCACAGCTCTCGCAGCTGCGTCCCGACATGTGCTGCACGCCCTGTGGGGAAGCATCCGGGAACCAGTTCTGGGCCTCCTGCTCTGCTCCGGCCTGTCCCGAGGCCTTGTCGTTCCACCAGTTGCGCTGCTGGTTGCGTTGGCCGGACCAGCCACCGCCATAGCCCCCTTTGTTGCTCCCGCGGTGCCATTTGGCTGAGCCCTTGCCTCGGCCCCGGTCCTCTTCCTCCTCCTTCTCCAGAGTGCCCCGCTTCCCGTCTCGGGAGGTCTGATCCATGTCCTGGGTGCTGTTCTTGAGGCCCGAGGCATTCGCCATTTGCTGGGCCATCATCGGTGCGAAGGCCCCGAGGGCTCCGGAGCCGGTGGATTGAGCCAGCATCGCACTCATCAGGCGAGCTTGCTCTTCCGCGTTCGCAATCTCCTTCTCCTGCTCGTTGGAGAGTTGAAGCTCGTCCATGATCAGCCTGCAAGGGTGTGTCAATGCAAAGCTGATGCAGCAAGCCTGCGCGATACAAAGTGGTGCAGGCTTGTGCGTGTCGAAGTTTGCTTGTGTGGCTGGCCTTGAAGTCGGTGTGGCAGTACGCACAAGGACTGCTAAGGGCGTGCGAGCGCTCGGTGAGCCAACTGAGCACCCTCGTATGCAAGGCGTAGGCCACTGCTACTGCTACTGCTACTGCTACTGCTACTGCTACTGCTACTGCTACTGCTACTGCTACTGCTACTGCGACTGCGACTGCGACTGCGACTGACTGCGACTGCGACTGCGACTGCTACTGCTGCTACTGCTACTGCTACTGCTACTGCTACTGCTACTGCTACTGCTACTACTGCTACTGCTACTGCTACTGTACTGCTGCTGCTGCTGCTGCTACTGCTACTGCTACTGCTACTGCTGCTGCTACTGCTACTGCTACTGCTACGGCTACTGCTACTGCTACTGCTACTGCTACTGCTACTGCTACTGCTACTGCTACTGCTGCTGCTGCTACTGCTGCTGCTACGGCTACTGCTGCTGCTGCTGCTACTGCTGCTGCTACTGCTGCTGCTACTGCTACTGCTGCTGCTACTGCTACTGCTGCTGCTACTGCTACTGCTACTGCTACGGCTACTGCTACTGCTACTGCTACTGCTTCTACGGCTACTGTAGGAGGAAGAGGATTAACAAATTGGTGTTAGCAGCATTATAAAGACCAGCTGGCACGATGTGGACGTCGACGGTAGTGAGGTCGGCGATGGAAACCATCGTGATTATGGCAACCACACCTTGGTGATGACCATGATGATGATACCGAAGATACAGTATAGGGATGAATAGGAAGGTCAAGATGAGGCCGCGACCGCCGATGGAGAGCATTGCGTGCCAAGATGTAGAGGACCATGGGACATGCAGGTCCAAATGAATTCGACATGTAAACCAAGATTAAGCTGACGATGAGGAAGCAGACGTTGATAAGACAGAGATTCACGTGAAGTGATGCGCAGTCCATGCGCAGCCAGCTGCAGTGGTTGAGCACCCGAAGTGGAAGACATTGCAGGTGGTGTCATGGGCCCTCATAGCTGGGATCATGGTCATCGTGGCTATTGTGGGGACCTAGTGATTCATCCGATTGCTTGCTGCATGAACTGAGTGCAATGCGAAGCTTCGATCCAGGTCAAGAAGCTGCCTTACCCGTATCGTGCTATTTTGGATGCCGGAGTTTGCGCCGGATTATCTTGGGGGATGGGTGCCGCGCTCAAGAGCATTAGAACCATGCACCAGCACGACATGAAGCTTCTGCACCAGCACTGACGCAGAGGTGCCACAGTTTTCATCTATGCCAAGTCAGTGACGACTGGCAAGGCGCCGGAGATCGATCCGTCACGTCCTCAGACCTAACACTTCCGAAGACAGCGAAAAAAAGATTTTGCCTCCCTTTGTTTGCCAAGGTGCTTGCCTCAAGAGCCATAATTGTTTGTCGAAGCACTCATTGATTGCTCTCACCTGCTTATGTGTTCGTGCTTCCGCACGCCGCAGCATTCACATGTGGCTGCAATGGAGTTCAGTGGAACTCTTGCCCTTCAAAGGCACAACGCTGCCAATAAGAGGTACTACACCAAATTGTTTAAAGTTGAAAGCTGCCCAGGGCAGGGCCTAATTGAGGCCCGGGTGAGCAGCACCGAGACAGCTAGTACAGTGCCCGAGCTCGTAAGAAAAGACGCGATCGCCCTGTCGGTGGGCCTGGACATGCCTGATCGATCGCTTACAAGAGGAGCTGTCAAGAAGATAGATTTGTCAAAGCAGCACCTGGCAGCTGGTCTTGCTCGCCTTCAGGCACGAAACTTTCGAGCATGCTGGATTTTGCAAGCATCGCTCTGTCATAATAAGCAGCTACGAGCGTTTAGTGTGATGAGTGACTTGACTAGTGGTTCAGAAAGACTTGTTGGTGGCAGCAATGGAGCATCTGGACCTGATGTGACTGCCTAAGATGAGAAGTGTGAACATGTTGGTGAGTTCTGAATCCCGCCTCTCACGCCGAATCGCAGGTTGTTGTGGCAACAACATCACGCTGTCGTGGCGCCGCTGGTGGGTCTGCTCCTCTTCATCTGCTTGATGGCGGTTTGCCCGGCATAGAGTTGTCGCTCATCGTCGCTGCAAGGAAGTAACTGGCTCACATCGACAAAAACTGCACTGCCAGGATTCTTGTCGGAAGAAGCCTGCAAAGCCTGTGGGCCCATACAGGTCTTGGTTGCAGATTCACATTTTCCTTCTTCGCCTTGCGATGTTTGAACATCCTGAAGCTGTAGGGATCGCAACTACTTGCATCATCAAGATCTGGTGGATCCAGAGGCCGTGTCGACTTCGATTGGGAAGGTGGAAAGAAAGAGATGGAGAGGAAGAGAACCATCACTTCAGTAAGACGAACGAACATCCAAAACCGGAATAAGGGCTGAATAAGGCTTCCTGCCTTCCGTTCGGGGTAATTGCCTATTCCGCCCTCATACGGGCATAGAGTTTCCCAAAGCGGCTAGCCTTGTCTCTGGCGAGATCTGCACATCTTCCGGATTGGATTGCTGAAGGTAACTGCCCGTGGTCTGGTTGTCAGACTCGCTGATGTTCACGGAGAAGTTCTTGCGCTTTGCGTAGTCCCAGACTATGCCGTTATGCGCTGTTCCGGGTTCACAGACCAGACTGGTCTTCAACTTGCAATGTTGCCAGTGATGTGATTTCATACTTCTGAGTTCTGACATGTGTTGGGGAGCTGCACTTGTGCTGCATGCTTCCCGATGTTGGCGCAGGCTTCGCATATCTTGTATATGATCCTGCGTGTGGCAACAAACAGGCTGTTCCTGATTTCGATTTCTGCAGCACTTCTTGCACACGTGACATGCAAGGCTAATGGGGTGTGGGTGTGTGTCGGCGTAAACAACCAGTTCATAGAGTTGAATCATACCCGCACTTCAGCTCACCAGTGCACACACTGTACTCGCTCCGCTCGTATGCTCTTAATCTTGCTTGTGCTCGGATGGGTTGCCTGCGCCAATCCTCCTCCACCTGCACCTGTGAAGAATGCAAACTTGTGTGTTTGATTCCTTGGCAGTTGCTCGACTGGAGCGGCGGGTGTTCAATTCTCATGGTAGTTTGGCGACAGACTGCGACAAAGTTCCCAGATTTTCTGGACAGATGTCGGAAGTACAACGACCTTGCTGGCGCTGCGTCCAAGTGTGTGGTGTTTGACTCTGATCATGTATCTTTCAGCCACCCGGCTGCGATGGATACTAAACAGGCTTCGAAACAGAGGCGGAACCGGCTTCGCGAGTCGGACCGGGCGAAGTTGCGAATTGGCTCAAATTCACATGCGATCTTACGGGTTTGTGGGCAGCAACTCATCCGTATGGGATCCAGGCTTTGGGGGTTGTGGTGACCAATCACTGCTTTGAGGACTTGGATTCTTCAGAACTCATTGTCGCTCCTTCCCGGGGCTTGTCACCAATGCTACCCTATTACGGTTTGGTGTTTTTCAAAGTGTTCTATTGCATGTCGGCTTAGCTCCTGCTTGCTTTTTGGTCTGCTTACGATATTCAGAGATCCGTTTGTCTTAGCTTTGGGTTGTTGTGAACATGTGGTCTTTGTAGGGTTTCGCTCACTGCTTTAGAGTTTCGGGTTGTTGAGAACCATTTCAGGGTATATTTAGGTTTCTTAGGCCTTAGCGAAGCTATCTTTAACCGAGCTTCCGCTGAATTTTCTTTTCGACATGGTGTCGAGCCGCCCGAAGGATGTCAACAGGTTCGGTATATGCACAGAGGGAAAGATGCCTGCCTTGTTTCCACTGGAACCATTCTTGTTTGCCGAGCATTTGTGAGCATCTCAGGCCGTACCAAATCGTGCTTTGCTAAATGCAGTGTGTGTCAATACTCGCAGCCTGACCGCCGAGCTCACTTGCAAGAGCGGTTTATGCAATGCTCAACCAGGAAAGGAGTATGTAAGCATTCCATGATCGTACTGTTCTTCCGCTGTGACATGGTCTGGTTGTGCTCGTTGGACCTACAGTCCAGACTACGCAAAGTCTCCGAGTCATAACTGCCTGCCTGTCTGTCTGTCTGTCTGTCTGTCTGTCTGTCTGTCGGCCTAACCGCCTGTCTGCCCGTCCACATCCGTCTGTCTGACTCTCCCTTTCTGTCTCACACTGAGTTTTGCTTTTTGCATACTGTTGAGTTACATGCATGTGGGCATGCATGCATACATACATACGTAGGTCGTCTCTCTGCCATCCCTCTCCGTGTTTAGCAATCTCTTCTCTCCTTGTGGCTCATGTGTGACTCATGACAGGTCCGACGGCATCACCTGGACTTTAATGCTTTCCTACACCAATCCTTTTCCAGGGAGCGCTTCCTGGAGGCGGACAGAAGCCTCCGTTAGCCCCGAATCGAGCTCGAAAGTGTCTGCAGGTTTCCGGTGAGCCGGGCTGCTTCGTTGCCTTTTCCTATGCAACCTGCAAAGAGGCGCGGACTTGTGACGAATTCGATGTGTGAAGCACAAAGCAAGCACATGCGCTTGGACAACCTGAGCCTGCATCATGCTCATGAGCTGCTCGTGATGCTGGCTTGTCGAAGTAGCAACCTCTGAGCATGCAGGTCTCCCGCTGCATAGATTCAGCATCTAATCCTTCAAGACCAAGCAGAGGAAGCTTGGCACAGTCACCGAAAGGCCAAGGATTCAAGTCAACCTTCACAGCGCAGGTTGAGTTGGACAACTTTGCAACTGGGCAGTCCTGCAAGACCAGGCAGCCCACTGTCCGAACAAACGGTGAGGAGACTGGTATCGGGCTGGGGTCAGAAACAGATCAAATGGAGAGAGAAAGAGGACAGGATCGATCATACCCATGAAGCGAAGAGGCGTCACGTGCACGCGCACACACCCACACCAACATCCATACCCACATACCCACACCCGCACCCGTGTGCGCACCGGTACCCGCACCCTCACCGCACCCGCACCCCACACCCCACATCCCACACCGAACACCCCGCACCCTCCACCCCACACCACGCACCCCGCACCCTGCACCCCACACCTCACACCCCGCACCGCACACGGCACACGGCATACCTCACATCGCACTCGAACACACCCACACACCCATGCACACACCCCAACACCCCCACACCCCCACACACCCCCACCCCCATGCACCGTCCCCGCCCCCACCCACACACTACACCCCCCACACCGCCACCCCCCACACCCCCCACGCACACCCCACCCCCACCCCCACACCCCCACACCCCCACCACACCCCACACACCCCCACACCCCCACACCCCCACACCCCCACACCCCCACACACACCCCCACACCCCCACACCCCCACACCCCCACACACACCCCCACACCCACACCCACACCCCCACACCCCCACACCCCCACACCCCCACACCCCCACACCCACACACCCACACACCCACACACCCACCACACACCCACACACCCCCACACCCCCACACACACCCCCACACACACCCACACACCCACACACCCACACACCACACACACCACACACACCACACACACCACACACACCACACACACACACGCCCACACACCCACACACCCACACACCCACACACCCACACACCCACACACCCACACACCCACACACCCACACACCCACACACCCACACACCCACACACCCACACACCCACACACCCACACACCCACACACCCACACACCCACACACCAACACACCCACACACCCACACACCCACACACCCACACACCCACACACCCACACACCCACACACCCACACACCCACACACCCACACACCCACACACCCACACACCCACACACCCACACACCCACACACCCACACACCCACACACCCCCACACCCGCACACCCGCACACCCGCACACCCGCACACCCGCACACCCGCACACCCGCACACCCGCACACCCTCACCCCCGCACACCCACGGACCCACACACCGACACACCCGCACACCTGCACACCCGCACACCCCCCCCACCCCTCCACAACCCCACCCGCACACCCCCTGGGCCTGCTGTGGTTGTTAACCCTTTCGCCGGCGTGCTTGCTGGGACCCCAGGGGCGGCACTAAGGCCTAGGATTGTTTCCAGGCCGAAGAGCACCCAGCAAGCAGGCGTGGGGGTCACAGTAGGGCGACAGTGCCGGCATTTTGGGTCTCTTCGTGGCTGGAGGCTCACGTGTTTCTTGCGGGAGGGTTCCCGGTTCGAACCTGGTGATCGCGCTTCTACACTTGACATGATCTGATGGAACAGCTACCAGTGGATCCTGTTTCACGCGGGGAGTGAGCGGTTACGCAAGTGTCGATGGTACAGCAGTTCGGGCTTGATTTTTGGTTCTCGCCTGGAGTGCGCAGTTACGCAAGCGGCTATGAGCTGATGGAAGCTCTGTCGGGATGGATCCCGGTTCGCGCCTGGTGTGCGCGGTTACGCAATCGGCAATGAGC